GCGCGCCCAGAGCCCGCGCGGGGCAGACTCGGCGCCGGAGCGTGGCCGGGAGCGGAGGCGCGCGGGCCACGCGGTGACTGCAGCAACTGACATGGCCCGCGGCCGCCGGCCACACGCGCCGCCGCGGGGACCCAACCAGGAGGGAAACGCAGCCACGCCGTACCTTGCCGCTGGCCGTGCCGCCGCTGACGCCGATCAGAAAGGGCTCGCCGCCGTTGGGCTGCTGGTGATTCTGCAGGGTCTGCTCGCTGTCCCCGGCCATGGCTCGCGCCGCCCCTCCTCCCGCTGCTTGTGCGAACGGACGCACGCTCCGCGCCCGCGCCCGCGTCAGGCTCCCGCCCTTCCCGCAGCCGCTGCTGGGCGCCGGTGGGCCGAGGCTGCAGCCGCTCGCTGCCAGCCGCTCGGAGCCCGGTGGAGGGGCTGGGTTCCCCGGAGGAGCCGAGAGTCTTGCTCTGCCCGCAGCGCCCGTCCCGGTTTACATCCCAGGCCGAGGTCAGCGTGATGCTGCTGCTCCAATCGGGGCGGGCAGCGCGCTGCTATTCGCCGAGGCGGAGACGGCGAAGCGTCTGGGCCCCAGCCCCCGCCCCTCCCGGGCCCCGCCGCCGCCCGCGGTCTCTGGGAAAGGTGTGAGCCCGACCCTCCGCCCCACCCGCCGATTAACCCCTTCCCCAACTCACTCCGGCGGACCCCGGAGAAAAGGAACAAGTTCTTCTGTTTTAATTTGGTATGATACCACCTATTTGAAAAGGGATAAATAGCTAGAAGGGATTGATAGGCTTAATAATTGAGAGAATGCTCCAGGTTTGAGAAGTAAAATTCGAACCAGCTTGGAAAATTGAACTGAAACAAAGAGTTAACGTCATTGACCCATTATCCAGACTAAAAACTTGTGTTTTCAGAAAATGAGATATTTCTTCCCCTCGCGTTTGCCAAAATAATATCAGCCGCTGGCTTTATGTATTTCCTATCTTGGAAACCCCCAAGCCCTCTTTAGCATGCCTGTCCTCGTGAGACTCCCTAGAGGAGTGATTTCAGGGGCTTTTCTTAAGGGTGCCCTCTCTCCGAAAATCAATGTACTTCCAAACCAACATACCTGAAATACGAGGTTCCTGTGGAGTTAGGTTTGTGGAAACATGAAAATAACAATGCCATTTTGATCCATTAATACCTTTAGTTGAACTGATTTTCAGAGATTGGCAATTAGTCACTTGGTTAGAAAGGCAGCACCAACTCGTGACTAAGCAGCCTCCACCTCTGCAGCCAGATTTCTGCATTCACATCTAGGGCCATAAGCAAGTTATTTAATCTCCCTGTGCTTCAGTGTTCCTATGTGTTAAATGGGAATAATAATGCCAGTTATATTGTAGGATATTTGTGAAGATTGTATGTCAAGTTCTTAGAATAGTGCCTGGTACAGTCTAGGCCCTATGTTAGTGTTTGAAGAGAACACAAACATTCTTTTTTTTTTTTAAAAGATGACCGGTAAGGGCATCTTAACCCTTGACTTGGTGTTGTCAGCACCATGCTCAGCCAGTGAGCGAACCGGCCATCCCTATGTGGGATCCGAACCCGGGGCCTTGGTGTTATCAGCACCGCACTCTCCCGAGTGAGCCACGGGCCGGCCCCACAAACATTCTTTTCACTTTTGAGATATTTTATGTCACCATCCAGCACCAAACTCTGCAGCAGCTCAGACAGGAAACTGATGGGGAGAGTGACTCCCTGGTACCCAGAGGTAGGCATTTAGGACAAGCTTGCTAGTTGGAGGATGCCTTACCAAATAGCTATGGAATTGAATGGATTTTAGCTGGTCCTTGAGTCTGCTTATTCTTCCAAAAGGCTTTTATTTACTAAAGAGATCTAACAGTCTTCAAGGATTTTGCAGAACTCTTTATCGACCAAGCTAAAGGCCCATTGGAATTTGGAACTTAATGAACCCATAGCTAAGGGTTAATATGGGGATATTAGGTAGCTGAGGGGAAAGAGGATAAAAGAATGCCACATCCTCCATGAACTCTTCCAGACCCCCACTGCTATGGTTTGAATATCCCCCCAAAATTCACTGAAGCTTGATCCCCATTGTAACAGAGGGTGGGAAATCAGACTGTGGTATTTGAAAGGTGGGGCCTTTTGGAGGTGATAGGATGGTGAGAACTCTGTCCTTATGAATGAATTAATCCATTCATGGATTAATGGGTTAAGGGTTAATGGGTTATCAGGGAGTGTGCTGGGGGCTTTAAAAGGAGAGCCAGCGAGCACTTTAAAAACACTCTTGCTCAGGCCTCACTATGTGATACCTGCATTGCCATAGGACTTTATAGAAAGTCCCCACCAAGAAGGCCCTTACCAGGACCTTGGACTTTCCAGCCTCTAAAACTGTAAGAAATAAATTGTTTCTTTTAAAATTACTCAGTTTCAGGTATTCTGTTACAACGAACAGAAAACTAACACACTCACCTTCTTTATCACTCCTATAGTTATTTTCCCATAATATTTTACTGTAAAAATTTTCAAACATAAAGCTGAAAGATTTTATAGTAAACACCAATATATCCATCACCTAGACTCTACTATTAACACTGTACAATAGTCCCTCTGTATCCATGGAGGATTGGTTCCGGGCCTTCCCCACAGATACCAAAATCCGATGATTCTCAAGTCTCTCCTATAAAATGGTATAGTATTTGTATATAACCTACACAGATACAGATTACTTATAATACTACATGTAAATGCTATGTAAATAGTTGTTACAATGTATTTTTATATTTGTATTATTTTTTATTGTTGTTGTTTTTTCTGGATATATTTGATCCATGGTTGGTTGAATTCATGGATGCAGAACCCACAGATATGAAGGGCTGACTGTACTGTACTTGCTTTTGTAACTAGCCATCTACCCATCCCTCTAACGATCAAGACATTTTTACATAGTATGTATTTATTTCCCTTTGCTTTGTTAGTTTTAGTTGGCTTATTTTGAAGTGGTTTATACATTTTTTGCTTTTTTTTTTGTTGTCTTTTTTCGTGACCGGCAACGGATCACAACCCTCAGTGTCGCGCCCGTACCGGACCGGGACCGGCCATGGGATCGCAACCCTCGGTGTTGCTCCCACCCCTCGCTCAGCCAGTGAGCGGCCGGTCTGTATGTGGGATCTGAACCCTCGGCAGGAGCGCCACCGCGCTTCCCAAGCGGCGCACTATAGCAGTGCGCCACCGGGCCGGCCCCTTTTTTTTTTTTTTTTTTTTTTAAATTACTGTATCCCAAACACCTAAAACAGTTTCTGGCACATAGTAAGGCCTCGATAAATATTTGTTGAATGCCTGAAGAGACACTGTGTCTCATTTCTGCATTTGCAAGGCCCACTTAACAGAATGATAGGCAAGTAGGAAGCATGCAATATGTGATTGTTGAATGAAAGGATAACGAATTAATATGGAAGAGATATGAAGGAATTACAAGTAAACTTAATTTCCACCATTAAGGAAGGAAAAGGTGCATTCCCTTGATTGTATTTTTGTGGTTACTATTCTTTTTTTTTTTTAAAGATGACCGGTAAGGGGATCTTAACCCTTGACTTGGTGTTGTCAGCACCATGCTCACCCAGTGAGCAAACCAGCCATCCCTATATGGGAAGCGAACCCGTGGCCTTGGTGTTATCAGCACCGCACTCTCCCGAGTGAGCCACAGGCCGGCCCACTATTCTTATTTCTGAATGTTTTGTTTTCCTGGCATTCCAGAATAACTGTCTACATGTAGTCCTAGCACATACATCACTTAGTTGAGCTAAGTCATGAACTGAGCTAACTCACTACACTTCTCTGCACCTTGTTTAATAATATTTGACCTCTGTGCATGAATTAATATCTATAAAAGTAGTCTGAAAAAATCAAAAGCATTCTACATAAATGTAAGGCCTAATTAGCAAAGGACAGCTAGCTGCACTCTACATTCCATTTTTTTTTTTTTTTTTTTAATGATGACCGGTAAGGGGATCTTAACCCTTGACTTGGTGTTGTCAGCACCACGCTCAGCCAGTGAGCAACCGGCCATCCCTATGTGGGATCTGAACCCGGGGCCTTGGTGTTATCAGCACCGCACTCTCCCGAGTGAGCCACGGGCCGGCCCCAAACATTCCATTTTCACTTTGCCACTTTCCTTTCTCTTTTCTATCCCTAGGGCTGGCTTGCCTACATATAAGGAAGTTACTGGTGTCCACTTAAATTATTAAGAGTACTCTCAGCACCGATGACCTCAACAAGGACTTTCACATCTCTGCTCTATACAAAGCAAGGCAAGCTTTCTGTGCTATTCCCTGTGCTGTGTCATTCTCTCTTGGGAGCCTGGTCACTAAATCCCCTAGCTAGGGATGCTCAAATCACATTTGAGCCTACTGTAGCAATTACACTGCAGATTCTGAATTAAGTGATTTCAAGCTATCCTCCTTCCCTTCCCACTAAGGAAATAATCAAATAGTTTTAATAAAATCCAGAGTTAGGACAGATTTAGGGAAATACATTTTGTCAGTATCTGTGATTATTTTGTTTGCTTTATGCAGATTTCAGTCTGATCAAGTTCTGGTCTAGTTAACATTTGGAGATGAAGTCAGCATGAGTATGCAACTGTAGCTGTAGCCAAAGAACAATAAGAGACATTGCTGTTGACAATCCTTTGCTTGCCTTCTCTCCTTAAGTACCACAGCTCTGAACTAGACAAGAAATAGTACATTTTGCATCCAACTGAAATGTTCTACCGCTAGGTTCTTCATGCACCATGATCAATTCTCTATTTGCTTATCTCATTCCCCAGCCAGAAAAATAGTTGTTCTCTCACTTCAGTATGTATCCAAAGCATTTTAATACTGTTTTACCTTTCTAACTACTATCAACTTTTTAACAAACAGCAATTGCTTTGACATCATAAGAACTACTCTGAAAAGATGACTGGATGATATTAAATATACTTCAACATCTAGCTCTGTGACCTTAATCAATCACGTTCTCAGATACCATTCGGCAGCACAGTGTAGTGCAGTCTCAGACCAGCAGCAGCCACAGCATCTGGCAATGCAAATGCTTGGGCCCTACCCCAGAATTAATGAATGGGAAACTCTGTGGGTGGAGCCCAGAAATCTGTCTTATATAGGTCTTCCAGGTGATTCTAGCACCCACCAAAGTTTGAGAACCACTGATCTAGTACAAAGAACATAAATAAGCTCTAGTCACAAAAGCAAGGTTTATATCCTTGCTTTGTCACTAATT